GTGTTGCGGGTACATTAATGGTACACTACATCATAATCGTCGTAATAGAGAATGCCCTTACTATTTTAGGCGCTGCCCGGCAGCGGACCTCGCTATAACATAGAGGCGCTGATAGCAAGCACCAGCCACACGCGCAACAACAGCACGGGTTCCGCTACTCCGTTCCCGCGCCCACAGTCATTTGGGGGTAAGTACAGGGCGTTATTATTTGTGGACTTTTGAGACGGGGGGTTATTCTAGGTATATGTGCATGTACATCTATATTATAGCTAATCCCAAATTATTGGTGAGCACAAACCAGTAAAGGTGCAGAATAGAAAAAACATAGAGAGAAAGTGGAAGAGCAGAACCACGGCCTTCTGCACTCTATCGTCGCCATCCGAGGGCTTTAGGGTTGTCTTAGGGTTTGTATAGGTACCTACACTCACGGGCGGTTTAGTGGCACTACACTCACGAGGCGGTTTATATAGTGACACTACACTCACGAGGCGGTTTAGTGGCACTACGCGCGGTTCCTTTGATCTCTAGGGTTCTGTGGTACAAACAAGCTTGTCCAGTCCAATTTTTCATTTTTTCTTCTTAGTTATCTGCCCTCCCCTGAACGCAATGGAAAATGGACTAACATCAACTGGGGGGTTCTCCCCTGGATCAGTGGCTAATTACACATGCAACGATGGCTATGTCTTGGAGGGAGACAGTAGAAGAGTCTGCCAGGCAACTGGGGCATGGACTGGTGAAGAACCACAGTGTGTTGAGGGTACATAATTGTACATACATAATCGTCGTAACTAGCTAATGCCCTACTATTTTAGGGCGCCCGCAGCGTGACCTCGCTATAACATAGCAGGCGCTGATAGCAAGCACACGCCACACGCTGCCACACACAGCACGGGTTCCGCTACTCCGTTCCCGCGCCCACAGTCATTTGGGGTAACTACAGGGCCGTTATTATATACTACGCGCGGTTCCTTTGATCTCTAGGGTTCTGTGGTACAAACAAGCTTGTCCAGTCCAATTTTTCATTTTTTCTTCTTAGTTATCTGCCCTCCCCTGAACGCAATGGAAAACGGACTAACATCAACTGGGGGGTTCTCCCCTGGATCAGTGGCTAATTACACATGCAACGATGGCTATGTCTTGGAGGGAGACAGTAGAAGAGTCTGCCAGGCAACTGGGGCATGGACTGGTGAAGAACCACAGTGTGTTGAGGGTACATAATTGTACATACATAATCGTAATCGAATCTGCATGACCCCACCCATTTTGTTATAACTGATGTTCTCTCTATTGCTAAAGGCCCACCTTCAATTACAAACGTTACAACGGACTCAACTACGAGCCTAAGTGTGTTGTGGGCCCACTCAGTAGCTGGACAGCCGACATGTTACTACCTCATCACCTACATCTGTCTAGCAAACGGCTCCAACTCGGTCTACCATGAAAAGAGGACCCTTACAGTGCCTGCTGGGAATACCTCTGTTGTTCTCAGTGATGTTGAGCTGCCACCGGGGAGCGTGCACGTGGTTGTCGTCACTGCAGTTTCGGGAGACGTGTCTCGGTCATCAGAACTTAAATATATTGACATATGTAAGATGCCACAGACTTTATCTTCTACCATATGAACAAGGGACGCTATGAGGCCAACAATTTTGTCCCTTGTAGAGAGGTTGTCCCTATCTCGGAGATAAAAAATACACTTAAGTATTAGAATGGGGTTGAAACCAGTGTCCTTTGTAAAGTATCTCGGAGGATCCCTTATCGGAGGTTCCGCTGTAGTATGATTCGTCATGCTGTTTCATTATGCTCTAGCTGCCGTGTATCATGCATGTGTTTGTAATCATCCAGCCTCAGCTGTGACCCCAGCACTTGTGACTGTTGTGTGGAACTCTCAGACTCAGACCTCTGCTACCCTCGAATGGCCTCGAGGGTTCTGTTGGGACTATGTTGTCATATGCTACTCCCTCAGCGGGAAGGATCAAATTCTCGTGTCCTTATTCTCACGTGCTGTTCTGAATGATCTTTACCAGGAGACATACATTGCTGTTGTGATCTGTAGCTCTTTCCGTGATGGCTATACTGTAGACACCTATGCTCCAATTTTGCTGAAATAGCGTAAGGATTTATTTAGATTTCCTCACTCACCTCTATACATGATTGTTACATTTTCATCTCCAGGACTTTAAAGCTTAAGGAGAGTTGAATAAGGTAGCAAAATCCATCCTTATAAGGACTTGCTAATAACACTGCGATTTGTTATCTGCAGGAAATTTAACAAGAGACTTGAACGCTAAAAACTATGAACTGTAGACATACTTGTTTGTTGATAGAAATTTAGTTTCCATTAGATTAATACTCTTTTGGTACATGGTTGTGAGAATCTATACCTGCTACAGTCTGTGCGCATCTGCAATGTGAAACTCTCCAATCTGCTCTGTTAGGATGGCACACGTCTAATCTCACATGTGATCCACCCGAAAAAGCTCCAAAAAATCACTATTTTTGCCAGCTTTTAAACTGATCGCAGTTATTCTATGAAATTCTAGTGGCACATTCTGGTTTTCAGTAGTTGTGGTAGTTGTCTAGCTGGTGGATTGTGGAGAGAGCAACATTTTGTTGGTCAGTTTCTTCCATCCCATAGAGTGGCATGTGGAATGGTAGCTACTAGATCAGTGCTGCATGCGAAGAACTACATAGTGACCAGCTAATCAAAATCAGACTCAGATTTGTGTAGCAAAAATAGTTAACGGTGGGATTGATATGCTTGTCGCAAGGCACAAGAGGCTGTTTAAGATGCTCCCACTGAATATTATCCCAGCAAGGGAGAGAGTCTGTATTGAAATAGTTGTATGTATGTTCATCCATGCCCTCCATACATTTAGTATACTTGCTGCGAAAAGAAAAATGGTTATATAGCAGCTAACCAAAGCCACACAAGGCACTATTGATGTGTCTTTCTTTCAAAACACGTGGGAAGTTGTACAAATTCGTTAAACAGTGAAAGTATTGACTTTGAAACTAAACGGTAATGTAAACGGTAATGTAAAACAACAGGGTTTAACCCTTTCATACAAAACAAACACTGAAGTAAAACACTGTCCAGTAGGGCAAGCGAAAAACCACAGACTTAGCCAGTCCAGCAGGAAAATGGGCCTTCTACATCTCAGTCTGTTACTGCTGATTCTCTCCAGTCAGTCTCTGGTTCAGTCACTGAGAGTGTACATTGATGGAGCTGACGGAAATGACAGTCTAGAGTGTTTGAATTCCAGTTCCATTGAGACTCCATGTCAGTCTCTCTCATTTGTATCCCAGAATCTGACTCAGAAACACTTTGTAGCCATTGAAATTTTGGGTGATGTGCTGAACTTGACAAGAGCTGTGGACTTCACTGACTACTCTAATCTCACCATCAGTGGCTCTGGAAGTAACACCACACTTCACTGCAATGAAGCAGATGCTGGACTGGCATTTGTTCGAGTGGTGAATCTGTCAATATTCTCCCTCACTGTGCAAAACTGTGGAGCTCCGAGACCTAGCACTACTCACCCACGTTACCTCCCTATTGCTGTTTATGTCCTCAACAGTAGTAACGTGTCATTGAGTAGTGTAGACATCGTCTCATCAAATGGTACAGGGCTCTCCATGTATGACACGAATGGAGAGGTGGGCATCGCATACTGCAACTTTGTCAATAACAGTCTGGCAAACAAGAGTGAGTCGGGAGGTGGTGGTTTGTACATAGAGTTCACTATTTGTACACCTGGATTTACCGGAGACTCTTGTAATGGTCACAATGATCGTAACAAGTACAGCAGCTACACTATCAATCATTGCAACTTTACAAACAATTCGGCATCCTCTCCACAACAGGCCAACAAGTTTATACCTCCTTCACAACAGGTGTTTGTTCCCAGACTTGGAAAAGGTGGAGGGTTATACATAAGCCTCGGTTCGAATGCAGCAGATAATGTTTTCCTGGTGAACTTTTGTACTTTCAAAAATAACCAGGCTGTTAACAATGGAGGGGGTATGATTGCTGAGTTCCTCAACTCGGTGGAAAGGAACCGTGTGATAGTTAGTGACACCAGTTTCATAGACAACGTATGTATGCAAACTCAGTTCTCGGATGCTGGAGGACTTACTGTTGGATTCATCTTTTACATCACTGAGGGAGAACATCCACAAGACAACACGTTTGAATGCCATTTTTGTTCATTCAAGACAAACAGAGCACACATGGGAGGGGGAACTGCAATATTTGCAACCAAAGACACTCGCCGGTCGTCATTAAGCAGTATTCTGTTTTCCAACTGTGACTGGATTGAGAATGAGTCTGCCATGGGGGCTGCTGTGTTTATCACTCCTGCTATCTGGGACTATACCAAAGAAGGTTACCTACCAGTTCCTCAGTTCCAGGATTGTCATTTCGAATCGAACTCTGCAATTCAACAGCTGAAACCACCCATGGCAGAAGGCATTGGAGTAGAAGTGAAATCTGTGGGTTATGGTGCACTGTTTATAAGTGAGTTTCATGTGACATTCGAAGGGTGTTCAGACTTTGTTAATAATAGGGGCTCAGCAATTCACCTTTCAGACAGTGTGATAGAGTTCACACAAGAGTCTGTTGTCACATTTAACAACAATACTTCACACAAAGGTGGAGCTATTGCGATGTATAGCTCTTCAATGATTAAGTTTGGGAACAGTTCGTTTTTCTCGTTTTCTAACAACATAGCAGACGCTAGAGGTGGTGCAATATACTCTGATTTACATGCCGCAACCCATCCAGCCTATCGCAACTGCTTCATTTCCTCGGATGAGTCTTTCCCGGTCAATTCCGAATTTGTTTTTACAGGAAACTATGCAAGATCCGGTGGAAATTCAATATTCACCACAACATTTCAGTCGTGTGCACTGTTATGCAAATTGACCGTGGAGCTTAGTCCTGCAGATATTATGTTGTGTATTGCCAATTTCACTTTCATCGATTCAATGGACACTAACTTGTCCCTGTCGTCACGTCCTGAAAAATTTGAACTCAAAGAAAGCTCTCCAGTCATGCTAATTTCAGGGATGGAGTATATTCTTGACCTGTCGGCCTATGATGAAGCCGGTAACTCTGAAATGAGTGATATTGTGTACGCAGCCTCTTCTACAAGTCAAAATGTCAGCGTAGATCCGGCTTTCCAACAAGTTTCAAACAACACAGTTATGGTACTAGGAGAAAATGGATCCACAGCAGAGTTAAAGTTGTTCACTGCCGATGTATTAGTCTTAATCAATATCACGCTAACAGAGTGCCAACCAGGGTACCACTATAATCCCTCCAGTTTAAAATGTGAATGTGCCTCATCTGAGTACGTTGGTTTGGAGGGATGCAATCCAAAAGTTTATCTCAGACATGGCTATTGGATGGGCTTTTGTTCAGAAAAAAGGAGCGAGCTCTGCACAGCTTACTGCCCTTATGGATTTTGTTCATACAGTCACATAGATCCTGGGGCACATGTACATGCATTAGAGAATGACTCCCACCTATTAGACTCTGACATTTGTGGTCCAAGCCGAACTAACAGGCTATGTGGTGAGTGTTCCCCTGGTCGTTCTGTGTATCACAACTCTTTCAAGAGGACGTGTGGCTCTGAGCATCTGTGCCACTTTGGTTGGTTTTTCTACATACTGTCTGACCTACTCCCACTCACCCTGCTCTTCACTGTTGTCCTAGTCTTCAACATCAGTTTCACAACTGGGAACGCCAACTGTTTTGTACTCTATGTCAGTTACTTGGCTTCCTCGCTTTCAATGACTCGGTACAGTTTTCTTTTGCTGCAAAGTTGATTCAAAACATCGTGACATTTCCTTACAATTCGTTCAACCTCAACTTCTTCACTTTAGAGAGCTTCTCCTTCTGTCTTTGGAAAGGTGCTACATTCATGGATTCGATGATGATGAATTACCTCACTGTTGGATGTGCACTAGCTCTTGTGCTGTTGACCATATTTATCACCAGATACAGATGTGTACACACTAAAATCTTTAAGTTTCATCATAGAAAGAGCTTCTTAATACACGGCATGTCAGCCTTCTTTATTGATGAAAACAGAACAAAATCTGTGTATCTACGCAGACAGTGTCTTCTTCGATGTGCATGACTGATGATATTTTACGAAAATGACAACATGTGTCATCCATTAAATGCTCTTAGCCCGATAAAAAAGATGGCACTAAATGTCTGGCCACACTTTATTGATCTGGGTCTTTAAATACGTATGACATGGAGACATTAAGCACTAGCAACCACATGCAGTGCACAGCTTAGGTTGTTAATAAATACGTATTATGGGGTTACATCTAATTATTTTACATAACAAAGGCCAATCGCACTTCACACTGTAGGCACTTGTGGAAGACAAATTGCATGAACAAGCTATATTATGCCTGCACAAATATTTAGGAAACATTGCCAATCAACTCATGTTTATAAAGGACAATTCTGTATCACCCAATCACAGCCACTGAGTATTTCAGTCCCAACAGTTATCACTAGCAAAGAGAGTACACTTTGGGGAAATGCTTCTGAAATTATAAAAACCTCAGCTATCAGCATGCAGCAAACAGGTGTCAGTGGTCTCAACAGCACATGTAGAGAGTGCCACAATACCAATGGCTTGGGGAACTTGGTGCTGCTTTCTCTGTACTCTTGCAGTCAATATCCAGTTGGCCACCAGTTGCCACACCTGGCACTACTACAACAATGCCACAGGAAAGTGTGAGTGTGGATTTGGCCTACACTGCAGCAGTGATGGCAACCAGGTTGAAATTGCCAACAGTCACTGTGCAACTTCCTCAGAGAGAGAAGATGACTACTATATTGGGTTTTGTCCATTCATACACGTTATCAGAGAGTCGGTAGACTCTCTAGCTATATAGGGACGACACGGTGTGAAATCTCACGTGATCCGCGTACAAAACGACTAAAATCTCGGTGAGAATCACTCCCTAGGCCTTCAAAACATACTAGCAATAGTCTACGGGCCCATATCTACCTATACATGTCCCCCAAGCGATTTCACGATTTTCGTGTATTCTTCATCTTCTTCTTCTTCTTCTTCTTCTTCAGACCCGCTAGCTCCTTACCGGAAGCACTTGAAGCGTTGATTTTTTCACAGAACGTCTCCGAATTTGCCGGAGGTGTGCATGCATATCAAGCGATCGTTTCATTCTTGCCGCAAGTCACTACGGTAGATCGTTGAGCTCTTCCTCGGTAGTCACTGAACAACGCCATTTGTTGCTAACTCAGCATCAGTGAGCCGCATGCGCCGAGGTGGGCGTTTCCAATGCGGTGCGCGCGCATTTTGTCCGGTCCACGAACGAGCGAGACTAAGCCAGGACTGGATGCCTTCAGAGAAAACTACTCTCAT